GGCACCAGCCTCTCCCCAGAATGGCTGCTTGGATCCCACATGAGGGCATTGAACCCTTAATATGGACCCGCCATGGACTAAAGCCAAACCCAACCCTCCTGGTCTCCAGATGCGTGGCGGGCTGGCAGCATCCGAAGGGAGAGGCTGACTTGACCCCCCCAAAGAGGGTGTGTGGACGGATGCCCTGGGTTCCGGAGTCTCCCAGGAGGCTTGAGTGCTGTCCTGAGACTACCCGGCCTTCACCCACCTGGGAAAACACAATCGAGCCATTCTCTCCTCTTGGAAACAAATATTTCCATGAAAACGAGCTTTCGGGGCCTTCCCTTCCCGCCGGGGCACTGGGCCACTGGGAGGCCACCGGCTGGGTACATGGGGCCTAGGATGCCGGCCAGCTGCTTGTTAACCTGAGGTTCCTGGGCCTGGGAGCCGGAAATGTGGAAGCCGAAATTCGCCCCTTCCTTCCCTCCATCCGTTTGTCCATCCGTCTGTCTGTCTGTCTCTCTCTGACAGTGGCCTGTTGTTGACATGGCTGTGGTCCCGAGGAGAAAGGCCTGCGGCCAATGGTGCTTTGGCCTCTGTGCTGTCCTGGGGCCGACGCCCCTCGACCGGAGGAGACCGAGGCCTGTAGGGGAGGGGACCCACAGAGGGAGCCTTCGCTGGCCTGGCGTGAGCTAAAGGCCAGAGTCTGTGGCTGGCTTTCCTATCTGCTTCTGGAAGTTTCTGCCTCACACAGAAAAAGCAGAACACACTGACTGTGCTTGAGAGGCCGGAAGGTCCCGGGGTGACAGGCGTCACAGGTGGCCCCGTGGCTCCTGCTGGGTCCGCCTGGGGAGAGGACAGGTGGGCCTGCCACACATGCCGATTCGGCATCAGTGTCCCAAACTGCTGGGCAAGAAAGGGAGGCGGAGGGTGAACCAGGACCAGAACCTCAGAAAACACACATCCGTTCCCGAGTGGTTGTTAATGGTGATTTATTGCAAATAGCAGCCAGGAGGGCACGTTCCACTCACTTCCTCATCTTACAAAGTAGCAGGACGCCCCCCCCCCCAACTCCCGTTCTTGTAACTTATTCTGTCGTCCCCCCTCCCCCCCACAAGGGCTCAGCGAGGAAGAGGAGGGGGGCCAGGCCTCGGCGGCGTTCTTCCTCCTCAGCAGAGGGATGCTCTGCGCCCCGGCACCGAGGAGGCGGTTCCCCGGGTGACGTTTTTTCCAACCCTGCCCCCCCAAGCCAGCAGAGGCAGGGAAGCATGTCGGGTTCGGGAGAAACACGCTGTGGAACACAGAGCTTACCCCCTTTTGTATAACAAAGTCCTTTCTTACTTGTTGAGACTTGGGGAGCTGGCCTGGAGCAGTCAGCTGGGACCCCGGGAGCCGTGGGACTTGGAAGTAACAAGCAAATTCTTACCTCAGCCCCCTGCTCACAGACCCCTGGGTGGACTTGGCCCCTAGGAGTTCAGACCCGGGCCAAGGTCACTGCCATCCTCCCTTTGCCCCCGAGAGGACATCTCCACGTGTCCCGCCTCCCACTTCCGTGGCTGGCGCTGCGTGCTGGAGTGGAGGCTCAGGGACCCCCTCCCTCCTGCTGACCTGGGCTCTCTGAGGTTTGTCCAGCATGTGCCGCCGTGAACGCTGGGGTGTCGGGGCGCACGGCCACTCCTGCTGAGGGCTGACCCCAGCTGTCCTGCCTCACCCCTGCCACCCCCACCCCTCCACATCATGGCACCATCTTTCCAGGCTGGAAGGAAGAGGTGAAACCTGGGGACCCATCACCTAGCGAGGCCCCAAGATTCCAAAGCCAGGCAGCCTGGCTGTTCCTTCCACAGAAGTCCCCACCCGCCCCCTACCCACCCCGCTCCCCGGGAAGTATGTCCTTTCGTGGAGAAAGCTGTGTCCAACGAATCCTACCTCTTGCCCAGTCCCAGGCAGAGCTCGCACAGCCCACTCTAGGGACCAAGAAAGTAGAGAGAAGCCACCAAGTGCAGGGAGCAGAACAGCCTGAGACCCTGGTCTCCATAGCCTTTCTCCACACACCCTGCCCCAGGCTCCGGGAGGGACCCCGGCTCTGGTTCCCATCCCCACGGCCTCTTACCGGGGGCCGCCCGGGGAGGGGCGGATGGAGCTGGGCCCCCTGCCCCTGTCATTCTGAGACCTTGCGCTCCAACCAGCCCTGTGTGTTTTGCCAATTCAGCACCTGTGAATCCTGTATCTACTACTGGTTTGGGGTTGTTAGTTCGGTCTTTTTTTTTTTTTTTTTTTTTTTTAATTAAATAAAATGATTTTTAAAATGTTCTCTTCCTGATGTGGGGGGAGGGGAGAACACCCCTCAAGCCTGTGGACACCTAGAGCCAAGAGTGTCCCTGAGTCTGGGGGGGTGCTGTAGACCCCCAAGAAGAGGGGGGTTCAGTGCAGGTCAAGGCCAGTTTCTCTGGCTTTCATCTGGTTGCTGACCACCTCCCAGCACCACCTGCTGGTTTCCGATCTCTGGGAGGTGCCATGGAGGGGCCTTTGCACAGCAGGACGAGATGGGCATCTGGGCAGCTGAGCAAGCCAGGCCTCAACCTGCCGGTGAGGCCGCAGGGAGAGCCACAGCTCAGAGGCCGCATGCTGCTCAGTGGGTTCCTCAGTCCACTGACCAGCCTCCTTTCCCGTCCAAGTTCCAAAGGGGCTACGAAGCAGAAGAGCCTGAATTCCAGACTGAGCGTTAGCACTGAGACAGCTGGACAGGGAATGTAGCCCCGACCAGAGGCCAGAGGGGGCAGAGCCACCCGATCCCAGGCCACCAGGAGGAGGGAGGGAGGGAGGGAGAGGGGGTGAGATGGACATACTGCGCAGGTCCCGCGGGACACGGTGTCACCCACCAGGTTCAGCCCAGCAGATGGCACTGGCTGGATGTCACCCCCACTCTCTTGGAGGCACAACGAGGCTAAGCAGTGTCCCCTAGTTCTCCCCAAACTGCAGCCCAGGGGACCTTCCCATCCGATCACAGGCTCCATCGCCTTTAGGACTAAGGCCTTGAGTTTTCCTGAGAGCCATCCCGGGTCTGAGAGGCCCCAACTCTTGAGTGTCACGAAGTCCTTGCCAACCCTCGTCCCAGCAAAGAAGGCAGAGGGCCCAGTGTCCCCGTGTTACCACCCTTGTGGCTGCAAGAACCACTCCCAACTTGTCCAAACTTTCAGACCTGGCTTTTTTTTCTTTTTAATCTTCACCCAAGGAGTGAGGATATTTTCTCGATTGATTTTTAGAGTGAGTGGAAGGGAAGGGAGAGGGGAGAGAGAGAGAGATCCATGTGATAGAGACACATCAATTGGTTGCCTCCCACATGTGCCCCGCCCCGGGCCGGGGATCAAACCCACAACTCAGGTACCTGCCCTTGACCGGGAATTGAACCGGAGGCCCTTCGGTACAAGGTTTGCCGCTATAACCATTGGGCACCTGCAACCGGTACGTGCCCTTGACTGGAAATCAAACTCGAGACCTTCTGGTGTGCAGGCCAATGCTCTAACCACTAAGCATGCCAGCCAGGGCCAGCCCTGGCTTTTTAACCCTCTTACTGATGCCCCAAATGTGCTGAGCCACCAGGGCAGCTTAGGACCCACCCCACCAACTAACCCCCTGCTTCACCAGCCTGGAGCCAGCGCCACTCAGCACCATGTTGGCACCATGTGCCCGAACTTCTGTGCCTCCTGTTCATTCTCAGCCCGGAAGAAACTGGCTCGGCACACTGGTTCCCACCTGGTGCCTCCCATGGCAGTCTGCAGGTCGTGTCCTGGTGTGGCCTCCAGTATGGGGCTCATGGGGTCACGTGTTTCATTCATCTGAAAACTCTGCCTCCATCATTTGCAGAGGTAGATCTACAGAACTGACACAGAAGTGGATGGTCTGGTTTCCCAACCAAAACGCCACTCAGACCCCCCCTCCAGCCCTGCAGCCCCCATTCTGCCCTTCACTTATATTATTTAGAATAGGCCAAGGACATAACCAACAATCCTCAAACGAGGAGTGGCTTCCTACAATAGAAATCTATTTCCCACCCATCGAGTTCAATCAACTGGACAGGTGAGGGTGCTCTGCTCCACACAGTCATTCAGGGATTCAGGGACCCACTCTGGAAGCTCTGCTGTCTTCATCATGGGCTTCTAACGTTGCCCCCGGCATTGACACCCGGCAGGCAGGTGGAGAAGAGAGAGGGAAGGTGTTCTTGTGAGTAGAGAGTCTTGTGGGAGGTTTTAATGGACCAGGAAGTTGTGACTCTCTCCCCTACCTACATGCCATTGGCCAGAACTCAATATCACAGTCCCATCTAAGAGCCAGGGAAGATGGAAAATGTGGTTTAGCCCAGGAGGAAAGGAAAACAGTTTGGGGGAACAGCAGTCTGGGCTCCCTGGTCTATGTCTTTCTGTATCTCCTTCTTGCCGCCCTACCCCCAAGTCGTTCTGGGAGTGCCTCCTTGACACTGATGCCTTTGTCTGGGATTGGTCCACCTCTGCGGCCTCAGCCCCTCCTTCAGCTCCAATGTGAGGTCTGGCCTCTTCTCGGCTCCAGATACCCATCTGTAAAATGGGTCTGTGCTACCTTCTCCCTAGGTTGGAGGAGCAGGCGTGAGCTCCTGCCTTGACCCAAACAAGAACCACAAAGTCACAGGACACCGTGACCCAAGCAGCAGTGGCAGGAACCTTAGGAATCATCTTGTTCAACATTCTCATCATAAAAGAAAACTCAGCCCAAAAAGGAAATGGCCGGG